TGAACTATTAGATTGAAGGTGGGAGTACACAGCTCTTATAAACACAATGTGTTATTTTCATTTTTTCAAAAATCGTGTTCTGGAAAAAATTTCCGGAACTACTTAGAAATCCTTCATCGCCAATATATTCTGTTCAAATGATACGATTTGAACAAATCAAATCTACTTTTAAAACTTGAAAAAATACGTTGAAAATGAAATAAAAATAGGGAAATTCCACTCTGCAGTTCTCGTGTTATGATTCAGTAGCGAAGTGGTAAAACGGTACAAGTTAATTTTGGCTATCGACGCGTTGTCAATGAATATCTCGGAATCTAAGCAAGATAGCAAAATTTTTATTATAACCTTTTTTGTAGAGCCGACTGAGAGCTACAACAAATGTAATAACGAAAATTTCGCTATCTCCCTTAGATTCCGAAATATTCCGCAAAAACTCAATTGGGAGATGAGTTGACTTAAACCGTTTTACCACTTCGCTGCTGAATTGAATCAAGATGTTAAATAAAAAGAAATAACACGTCTTGAGTGAAAATCATTGTCTACAAATGTTTGGATATAGGTACCCCCGGAAATGATACATCAATTCACCCGATCCAATGAAAAATAACGCAACAATTCACTCAGTCTCAAGTGTTTATCCACCAATTAGGCCTAGATTTATATTTGGTTACGGATTCTCCCCCTCTTCATCTTTCATTTTCAGCCTGTATTTTCCCCTTTGCCGCCCACCCGATATCGACACGCGTTTCGTAGATAAACTCCAAATGGTGTATTTGCGTCGTCGAAGAAGGGTCCTCGTTTTCGTTACGTGGTCAACTTGAGTAGTTACCCTCTCCTCTTGACACGCGCCGAGTCACGCGCCCGAAGGAGAAAAAAAAACGTAATTGAGTGATTGCCTCCATAACAGAAGCGACAGGTTCCTTTTTGACTGGGTGCTCTATGAATGGCTCATTGTCGGGGTTTTCATTTATATTATCGCGTTTTCAACAGCATTCTGACATACACTGTTAGAAATTTTTTGAAATTTCATGGAAAATATATTTGTAATTCTCGTGAGAGTGACATTGAATCGGATTTAGGGGAAAAATGGTTATGAAATTTCAAGTTTTAAGTAGAATTCAAGGAAATTCATGAGCTTTCAGCGGGAGTGAGAAAGGAATTTCACAACTTGATTGAATTTTCAATGGAACATGAATATTCAAAAAAAAAATTACGTGAATTTTCAATTTTACCCCTGAATTTTCCCGATTTTTCTGAATTTTCACGGAATAATTTAACTGAAAAATCAAGTATTTTATTGATTTTTAGATCATCCGAACAGAAAATCAATGGAATATTTGATTTTTCAGTGGAAATTAAACACGATAAAAATTTTCAGGGTTCGGCACGGAAAATTCAGACGGAAATTTTTAACAGTCTCATTAGGAAAGTAATGCATGAAAAAATGAAGTTGTGATTTGATTTGAAAGTGAGGGAAATTTCAAGCGAAATTGAAAAAAGTTGCAGCGAAAAATTTCGTAAACATTTCATTTTCATTTGTTTAAAAAATTAAATTTTCTAACTAGGGAAGGAAGGGACGACGTTGATTTTTTTCCGCTGAAATTAATAAAATTGGAAGTTGTATATGATTTCATAAAAAATCTCAGAAAATTACACTCAAATTTAATGAAAAATTTCAAATAAAACCAGCCCATCTGCATTTCCCATACAACTCTAATGTAAGTTTTGTAACATATAATGTAACTAAAGATGTTTTTAGGGTCATGTTTGTAACACAGGCATGGCCCTAAAAACATCAGTTCTTCACGTTTCATAACATTCTAGACCATTTGCAATCAAAATTAGAAAATCGAAAAATCAATTAAATACAAGGCTTCCATTAAATATAGGCTTCGGACGCAAAAACTTGATTTTTATTGACATTTCAAAATAAATAAACAATTTCATGAAGATTTAAATTCCAATTAAATTCAAATTCACAGCTTTGAAATTTCAAATGCAACTGTTACCCCAATTTTTAGAAATCCAAAAGCGCATGTTTTGTGCTCTACTCACTCTCATTAAAATTTCAAAATCTTTCCTACAAAAGACTGTTTTATATTGAAAAATCAACAAAAAAATTCAACTGAATTTTCCAGAAAATGACACTAAATTCAATTTAACGGAAAAAAGTCTATGAAACTTTAAGTTTCCCTGAAAATTCAAGGAAATTCCTGATTTTTCAGTGGAAGAACCATGAAGATTCCGAAATTTCCATGAATTTTCAATGTAAACATGATAATTCAATAAGAAATTGCTCTGAAATTTTCAAAAAATTGAAAATTCGAGGACATTTTCGCTTGAATTTTCCTAATGTCCATGCATTTTCATGGAATAATTGAACTGAAATTTAAAATTTCCATGAGTTTCCCACGAAAACCACGAAATTTCAGTGGTAAAATTCCCTGAAATTTCAATGAAACCGTCACATGTTTCATATTTCAAGACTAAAGCCTGGAAACTTCAGTTCAAATTTTCTAACAGTGTAGTCCATCCTTAAACCATGAATGAATGTACCCAAATGAAATCATCTGCATTTTCCACACCCCCGGGGCAAATTGGTTATTTTTTCCGAACTATCGAATGAAATTTCCCCGAGTTATCACCAACACCCCTCAGAATCTTCAATCAACTCAACTTCAAAAACCAAAAAAAAATCCACGACTACATAAACTCATTTTTCATCTCCGAATATCTTTTTTTGTTCCCTCAATGGCAAGATGGATGCTATTTCGGACCTTTAAAAGTGGCTACCATGCGTAGAAACCGGGTATATGACGACTATAAAAGAAGAGGAAAGACAGGGACTGAGGGGAGACTACTCTCAGAGAGGGAATGCTGGATCGTCCCGCGTTTCCATGGAAACTCTCTGGGCGATAAGCGTTGGTTGGTCCCGCACGGCCTGCCGCCACCCTGATAAGCGGCTTACTCTATCTGTCTTTCCTTCTCCTCTCGTATACCTCTCACAACCCCCCCACGCAAAGCCCTCCCCTCAGCGTGAATATACGCCCCGTGTTATAACGTTTCTACTCCAGCCAGCATCCGAGGCAATGTAAAAATTCGTAATAATTAGCCCACAATTCTATTTTTTTTTTTTTTGCCGGATTGATGTTATTTTCGCTCGGGGCTGGAGGGAAAATATCCGAGTACGTGAAAATTTGTCTGGGTCGAGAAGCCATGGAACTAACCGTGCGTGGGGCTTCAGTCGATGCATTGATTTGTATGATAATCGATGATGAGGACGTGGGGAAGTTACGAATGTATAGTTAGTTGGAAGAATTACGGAATTGCTGAAAGGAGAGGGGAACAATTGCGGAAGAAATTTAGCAATCGTGCACGGAGATTTGCGGAAAAAACTGTAAATAAGTTAATTTATTTCATTCTCACAAGTTATTGAGTTTTTCTATTCTCATGTGTTGTCGATGCAGGCAACAATAACTGTTTGAATGAAATAAGAAATTCATAGCACAGACTTATTATTTTTTTAAACATTCGGGAATCTTATTTTTGTAGGCATATAATGGATTTTTTGTGAAATTCTGAATATGAATAAATTTGATACGATTCCGAACAAATTATTTTTATGGTAAAAAATTGATTGTTTGTGAATTATTTATAGGAAACGGTCGTAATTTTCAAAAATTGCAATTTTCAAAATATTTCGTCAATCTTCCTCTGAAAGTAAACTTTCTGATTTTTTTTCACATTCTTAAAATGGGTTCTACCAATTCAATATCAAGATTCAAATTCAGACCTGGAAATTTTTTATAAAAAAAATCATTGTAAAATATCTAAAAACTTAGGGTGAAAGGTAGCGCTAAAAAAAGCTTTGATCTTCAACTACAAAAGCAGAAAAGTATTTCGCAGGAAAAAAATTGCAAAATACTTGAATATCCTTAAGGATATCGAAGAGTCTTTTACAGTTAGGCACAGACTACAGAGATTCAACCATTTTCAATAATCGAATTTGTCAATTATATTGTGTGAGAAAAATTTAACAAAAATCATGCAAATTACATTTTGCACAGCCTTATTATTTTTTAAACATTTGTTGTTTATAAATCAATAATACAAATTATTTAAATTTTCGCAAATCTAATTTTTTAGGCATAAAATGGATTTTTTGTGAAATTCTGAATATGAATAAATTTGATACGATTCCGAACAAATTATTTTTATGGTAAAAAATTGATTGTTTGTGAATTATTTATAGGAAACGGTCGTAATTTTCAAAAATTGCAATTTTCAAAATATTTCGTCAATCTTCCTCTAAAAGTAAACTTTCCAATTTTTTTTTCAGATTCTTAAAATGTTTTCTAACGGTTCAATATTGAGATTCAAATTGAGACCTTCAAAGTTTAAACAATAAAATCATTGTAAACTGTCCGGAAACTTAGGTTTGAGTAGGGTTCAAAAGAAATCTCTGATGTTCGACTACAAAAGTAGAAAAGCATTTCCTTTGCCGCTTCGCTACCGAACCGTCAAAATACGACGACTAATGATGCCGCGAGAGACTTTACGAGACAATACTTTGGAGAGACGGTCTCGGTCTCAACGAACATGGAAATCTTTAGTCTCGTCTCAATCTCGAAATAGGCAGTACCGACTCCTCTCGTGATAACACCAATTCAATTTATTTCACCTCGGTCTCAAGTTTTTCGTATTTTCAACGTAAAATCTCGGGTTTTGTCTCGCTTTGTCTCGTCTCCATTTTCTACATATATAAAAAACGCAAAAAACTGGAAACCGAGGTGAGATAAATTGACTCGTAGTCATTACGACAGAAGTCGATACTGCGTATTTCGAGACTGAGACGAGACCAAAAATTTCCGCGTTCACAGACCGCGACAATCCACCCAAAGTATTGTCTCGTGATGTCTCGTAAAGTCTCTCGCGGCATCACTAACGACGACTACCAAAACCCCTCAATCCCTAAATAAAAAATCTCCAAAATGACATACCTTGTGGAAATGCACCGAGTCCATGATCGAGTGGATGCCCATGAGGATGTCCATGTGTAGCAAGTGCAAATGGCGACGGTAAACCAGGATGCGGTCCACCAGGATGACCATGGGAATGCGGATGTGGATGTGTACCAACGCCCATGGCTGGATGACCATGGGGATGATATTGGGTACTTCCGGTTGGGGCGCAAGTTGCGCCCGCCGCCTTCAGATACCCAGCCATGTAGGTCGCGAGGCAAGCCAGTTCACCCGCCACCGCTGCACCCTTATCTCTCTGACAATCGTTACCCACGTAATTCTCACACCACCAGTACTGTTCGTCGCGCGAGCCTGTCGACAATTCCGTCTTTTTCGTATCCAGAGGAGTTATTCTCTCTCGGATTTTATCACCAGTATCACGGGATGATTTCGGAAGTGGTCTCGGTTGCACACGCTCCACGTAGTCCTCCACCTATTGACAGACATTCATTCGTTAATTTTTGTAAACATTTTTACTGCGACAAACTCCTTCATCTTCTTCCGCAATAAAAAAATTAAGAGTGGGATAAGACGGAGGATCTTCAATCGGCGATACCTCAGAAACGGCAGAGTGAAATTCTCCAACTTTTATTTCGATTTCAAGGTGCCTTTTCAAGCTTTAAAATGAGAGGTGACTCGCCCAAATCGCATCGTTTGTTCAGGAGATATTAACGATTAACCCTAGTCTGGTCACCGTGCGCGTGAAAGTGGCGCCGTGTTATTTAGAGTTTGACGTTGCCGAATTTACTCTACATTGCCCTCGTGCGTTTAGCGAGGTTCCGGCAACGTTGCGTGACGAGCGATTTCATTTAAGGATGTTCGACACCCTTTTAACCAAAATTGACGTTGTTTTCATTTTTCTGGCAAATTATCGATGGGAGTGACGTGAAAAAATATAACGATTTTGTGGTTTGTCATTCTTTAATGGCTCACGAAGTTGCGTAGTGGTGCGATAATTTTCATGCGTTTTTTCTACAGTTTTGTGATTCTTTTTAAAAGTGTAGAGAAAACGCAGGAAAATGTTCGCACCACCTTAAAATTTCGTCAGTCATTAAATAATGACAAAACGCAAAAACGTTATATTTTTTCACGTCAATTCCATCATAAGTTTGCCAGAAAAATTAAAAAAACGTGAATTTTGGCAGAAAGGGTGTAGAACATCCTTAACGTGGGGAAAGAAAATTCTTCTGTTGGAAAGAATTTATTTTCTTTCGGAATTTTCGGAATTATGTTATTCTAAAATTACTATAATGTGTTGGGCACTTCAATTGAAAAAGTCAATTGTTTTTTCATTTTTCTGGTCAGTCAATAGTAATTAATGCTGCGACCTTTTCCTCATATAGTGACCAATCTAGGGTTAAAGAAGATTCAGTTAAAGTCCCTCTTCTCTGAAAATTGCGCCATCTCTTTTAGACTCAGAAATATCTATTAAAGTGAAACGGAACCCCTGTGTTTATATCAACTTTTAGAACTGTGTTTTCTCCTGCAATTATTATGTTTTATTTATCAAACTACTTCATTGACTCAACAATGCAATGATCGAGTCGATAAAGTAATTTCATAGATATAAAGTAATAATTGTAGGAGAAAACAATTCTAAAAATTCATATAGACAGGGGTTCTGTTTCCCCTTAAGGTATGTCCCAAGACAATACCATTCAAAAATTAGTCCCCATGTATTTCCAGAAAAAATGTTAAATGACTTATTATAACTCATTGAATTCTCATCAGTTATTGAGTTTTTCTATCCGCATGTGTTGTTGATGAAGATAACATTAAATGTTTGAATCGAATAAAAAATGATTTCATAAAATTTCCATTTGTTTCTGCCAAAAGTAAAGACAATTTGCGGTGACGTAGAAGAAGAATTACATTTAAAAAACAAGCTTTATCTGGAGATTTATGATCTCAGTTTGAAAGTTCCGAAAATTTCAAATTGAGATTTTCAAATGTCTCAAGTGAACCCTTCAAATCTCAATTTCAGACTTTGGAAAGGCCTTAATTTGAGACTTTCATAGACTCAAGTTAATAGTTTTAAACCCTAGTAGAAATCAAATGTCCGAGCGCCGTCGCCCGGACTTTCCAGAGGCGACTCTCGCGTAGCATACGTGTGGCTAATGGCGGGAACGTCCCCGCTAGCGCGCCCAATATACGAATGTCGCCCTGCCGTTCAGAATTTCTACTAGGGAATGATTCAAGTTAAGACTTTTAACCAGAAATTTTTCTTCAAGGGGAATTCTGAAAGGCTCAACTTAAGACTTCCAAAAGTCTCAATTCCATACTTTTGAAAGACTCAAAACATCCTTAAGGAATATCCCAAGACAATACCACCCAAAAGTTAATCCCTATGGATTTCCGGAATAAAATCTAAATGACTTAATTTATTGCATTCTCATAAATTATTGAGGTTTTCTATTCTCATACATTGTTGATGCAGGCAACAATAACTGTTTCAATAAATTGAGAAATATGTTTATAATTAAGAAATGTTTGTTAATAAATTAATGGTTTGAATCAAATAAATAAATAGTTTCACGCGATTTCTATTTTAGGATTTCAATATCGCAAAAACTAGGTGCCAAAATTTTACAAAAAATTCACCATATTTGGAATTTATCAATCTACTTCGAAGGCACTTATAACTCCCGTTTGGCATCAGCCTCGCGTGCTAGCAGCCTGTACTTCATTATTTATCATCTCCCAAACTGTGTGGAACAGCTAGTGAGAATTTTTTTCAATATCTGGGGAATATTATAAACATTACCCATGAAAATTATGGGGACGATCTTAAGAGAAACTCGTTTTCTAGGGATGAACCTTAAGGTATATGGTAAGACAATACCACCCAAAAGTTAGTCTCGATGTTTTACCGGAAAGTCTAAATAACTTGATTAATTTATTGCATTATTAAAATTATTCAATTTACGAATTCCGTTATTACATAATTAACTCGTAAGTTAATGAGATTTTCTATCCCCATATGTTATTGATAAACGCAACAATAACTGTTTGAATCGGATAAGAAATGATTTCCAGAAATTTTTATTTTTTAGTGTTGAACTTCGCAAAAACTATCTACTATAAAATTTGATAAAAAATTCACTATATTCGGAAATTATCAATCTACCAAGGATTCGTTTTTGAAGAACGCCGTAAGAACCGTTTTCTCATAAGATGGAAAAGTCGAGTTGGGCGGACCCATAACCCCCGTTGGCCTGTGCCTCGCGTGTTAGAAGCCCGCAGTTCACTACTTATTATCTCCTAAACTGTGTAGTACAGCAGATTAGAATTTTTTTTTACATCTGGGGCATATTATAAACATTATCCATGAAAATTATGGGGACAATCTTAAGAAAAACGTGTTTTCCAGGGATAAACCTTAAGGTATCCCAATACAATACCACCCAAAAGTTAGTCCCTATGAATTTCCTGAAAAAATTTTAATGACTCAATTTATTGCATTGTCATAAGTTATTGAGGTTTTCTATCCTCATATATTGTTGATGAGGGCGATAATGACTGTTTTAATCAAATAACAAATTATTTGTTAATTAATTATTTGAATCAAATAAGAAATGATTTCCCGAACTTTTTATTTTTTAGTGTTGAACATCGCAAAAACTATGTACTATAAAATTTGATAAAAAATTCACTATATTCGGAATTTATCAATCTACAAAGGATTCGTTTTTGGAGAACGTCGTAAGTACCGTCTTCTCTTAAGATGGAAAAGTCGAGTTGGGCGGACCCATAACCCCCGTTGGTCTGTGCCTCGCGTGTTAGAAGCCCGCAGTTCATTATTTATTATCTCCTAAACTGTGCAGTACAGCAGATTAGAATTTTTTTCTACATCTGGGGCATATTATAAACATTATCCATGAAAATTATGGGGAGAATCTTAAGAAAAACGTGTTTTCTAGGGATAAACCTTAAGGTATCCCAATACAATACCACCCAAAAGTTAGTCCCTATGAATTGCCGGAAAAAATTTAAATGACTGAATGATTGCGGTTTTCTATCCTCATATATTGTTGATGAAGGCGATAATAACTGTTCGAATCAAACAAAAAATTATTTGTTAATCAATTATTTGAATTAAATAAAAAATGATTTCACAACATTTCAATTTTTTGGAAATGGACGAATCTACCAAGGATTCGTTTTTTAAGAACATTATAAGAAGCGTTTTCTCATAACATGGAAAAATCGCGTGCTAAAAGCCCGCATTTCATTATTTACTATCTCCAAAACTGTGTAGTACAGCTAGTTAAAATCTTTTTCAATATCCAGAGAATATTATAAACATTATCTACGAAAAACATGGGGACAATCGTAAGAAAACCTTTTTTTTTAGAAATATACCTTAAAATCTCTGAAGACAAGTTGAATTATCCCATTTAATCACTTCACTATTCAACTGTGTTCATCTTCTCATGACGAAATAAAAAAATTTCCATTCGCTAAATAGTTCGTATCGAAGAATTTTGAAACGTCTTCACACCGAAACTCACCAATTTACGTTAAAAATTGAATCATCATCCAACGATATCCACAATCACAATTCCCAATCTCGTAATAATTCACACTATTCAACCACACAGCACGACTGCAATCCTGCCACTGAATATTTCACAACAAACGATATATCATTTGTTAATCGAGCGACGGGAAAGCACTCTCGACCCGAAACGGAATACGACTAATGGAACAGATGAGAACAGACTCGGTCAAACTCCTGGCTACCCCCACCCCGTGTACCCTCACCTTAATAGTTTTCCAGGCCCTAGAGGTCCCTTCCAAAAAATCCATCGGGGGTGGGGGGAATTTTGAGGGAAAAAGGGGCCTTCACTGGGATCTTTGGCGGAGGAAGTGGGGATAGATCGTATGAATGGCTAGAGCAACCGCAATAGGGCCTATCGGTTCCAATAAATTTTACAATACAAATTAGAATAATTAAAAATGTCCAACATGATTTATCGATCGACTCCTCCTTAATTCTTGCTCCTAAATTTCACAAGATGTTAAAGGTTTTTTTTACTCTTGTGTTTCTCTTATATTTTTTATTTTATTGTACTTTATATTTTTCATATATAAACAATGAGAATTGTTTACTCCCTTCCCATCTTTTTATGAAATAGCAAATTATTTTTTGTTTTCAGATAGAATGATGAATCAGTATCGATTGTTTTCAAATTTTTTTTTGTTCAAATTGGAGATAACAAAGAGGATTTTTTTTTCGATTGTCCATCTGATATTTTGTTAAAGTTGCATGGGGAAAAGTTGTGAAATATTCGTAGCGCTCATGAAAAAACAGGAATTTTATAATGTGTAAAATAAAAAAAATATCACAATTTATCGAATCCCTTTTTCGTGATTTTTATTTTTTTTAATTCACAGGATGTAAAATATTTATTGACTCTTCTACTCCATTTT